CTACATGGGAGTCGACACAAAAGAGTCTAGGACGTTTCATAGTCCATTGAACTGGGTAAACATGGCGGGTCTTAATCAATCTGTGAAGCCCATTGAGGTCTGGGACAGCAGAGTGGTCAGGATGTAGTAACAGTGCTGGTGGGGCAACAGCGTGTTCTTGCCTGGACCTGACTCCAACCCAAGGTCTAGGAGCAGGCCTCAGAGGGTGGGGGCTGCACACTGAGGAAAAAAGCAGATACTGTTTTCATATGAGAAAATAGGAAGGAAGAGGGTGATGGGTGATACTACAGGAATGATACAAGGCAGAAAGAAGGCCTTCCCTGTACCATGAATGATTTCTTTGGCAAGGGCAAGGCTGTACTAGATTCTTATTTCCCCCCCCTACCCCTCTCTCTCTCCCCCCTTACTTCCTTCTCTCTTTTTTTTTTTTTTTTTTCTTTCTCTTCCCTTCTCACGGGCTGGGTTTCTAAGGGCAGCCCAGCTGGCATTGAGGTGGAGCTGCAGACTGGCCTCTTGTGCGCTCTCCTAAATGCCTTTTCAAGCAAGCTCAATAATTGATGAACACCTGGGTCCTTGTCTGCACTGAGGAGTGCACATGATATTTAGTACACGAAAAAGCTATTTCGCCCATCAGAGCTCATCCATGGAACAGCACCATTTCCCCAGGATACTAGTTGATTGTTCTCTCAGTAGTTATAGGGGAACTTCCTTTCTCCGATGTTCTCAGCTGCTTGACTTCTTCCAGCCTAGACACAGCACATGGCTGTTGAGTTCCACTTGGCACACCAGAAGTTCACACTCCTTCTTCCTCTAGTGGGTTGCTTTCTGACCACTACTGGCCAGCCTGTCCTCTTCTACAGGTGAAACAACTGCAGCAGGCCTCAGGTCATCTCCTGGGTTTCCATGGCCCGGATTATCATCCTGACACACTGCGCAATTTGTTGCCTGCCTGGGATTAACTGTTCTTTATTGAGATGGAAGATGCAGTGACACATCTGCAGGTGCAGGAGGGAGTGGGAAGTCAGGGTAGAAATATCTCAGAGGAGCTGGAGAAGGAGGAGGAGGAAGAGAGGGTAAGAACTGTCATGTCAGGGAAGGTGCAGGCCATCAGTTTAACATTAACATGAGTCCCTGCTAAGCACACGAGTGGGACAGGGTAAGCAGGACTGAATAGCTGGGGATGCTGCTGAGCCGGAGAGAGGCATATTGACAAAACTAAGTGTGGTGTGGGAGGCAGGACTAAAACAGTTGAGGTGTTACGGATGGGGTCTAAGGTGCACTGGCTGAACTGCTTATTGCTGTCAAGGGCTGAAATGGTAAGATGTGCCACAGTCCAGGGCACTAGGACAAGAGGTCTGGTGCATGTTAATACCAATCTCTATTCTCCTGTCAGCATGACAAGGGAGATTTGCACAAGGGCAAGCCTGCATGTTTCTCAAGACAAGGTAACACCCTCCTTTCTCCTGTTGCAGCAACACATTACATCCCAACCTGCCCCTTTTTCCAAAGAAAATTTACAGAAAGGTTGTTCTGTGTATGCACCGCATTGGATCTGTACCTGTAAAGCTGACCCAGGTAGTATCTGCCAGACGCTGGAGAAAGATGAATGCCTGTCTCTAAAAAAGAGTGGGGGTGTGGGGGGCAGGCGGAAGGGAAAGGAGCTTGGGAATTGCAGATTTATGGAATCACTGTTGCTTAACCCTGATCCTCAGAAAAAATATGAAATGAATTATCAACCAAACTCCTTGTCAGCACCTGAGCAATAACAAGGAGATGTGTAAAAGTCCACCAGGATTTGTTGAGAATAAGTCATGTCAGACCAATCTAATATCTTTCTGTGACAGGGTAACAGGCATTGTGGACAGAGGTGAAACTGAAGGTGTCATCTGCTTTGACTCCAGTAAGGTTTTCACCATCTCTCTCATCACACTTTGTTAGCAATCTAGAGGAGCAGGGTCTCGGGGAGAGCTAATAACAAATGCATGCAAAATGAGTAAGAATGTCAAAATGGAAAGGAGCATGGACTGGGGTTCTGTGAGGGTCTTTCCTGTGCTCAGTTCAGTTCAATGTTTTCTTTAACAGCCTTGAATGATGGACAGAGAATTTGCATATCAAATTTGAAGATGATCGCAAGCTGGGGGGACTGTGAATTTGTTGGGGAACAGGATTAGAATTCATAATGATCTTGGAAAATTGGAGATACACTCTGAAAAAGTGGGATATAATTCAATAGAGACAAGCACAAACTACCTTGGCAGAAATAATGGACTACATAAATGCAGTGCAGAGAAAGATCAACTAGATCACAGTGCTGCAGAAAAGGGTTGGGGGGAGGATAAAAGAAGATCACAAGCTGAACATGATTGTGTGTTGTTGTGAGAGAGGCGAATGCTGTACTTGGATGTATAAATAGTTTAGCCTGCAAGGTGCATGATGTAATCTATGTGCTCTGCTGTGTGATGGTAAGGCTGAAAAACTCTGTGCAGTTCTGTGGATAGCACTTCAGGAAAGATCTGGACAAACTGGAACAAGTCTAGGGGAAGAACTGAGAATAATCAGGGGTCTAGAAAATAAGACCTACAAGCAGTGATTTAATGAATTGGGATTGTTCAGTTATAAATTGAGAGGACTGGGGAGAAAGGGGAAGAGACTGTACGACAGGCAATGAACTCTGAATCTCAGTTTCCCCATTTGCAGCAAACCCTTTGACAGCCCTAAGTGACAGCATCAGTGACTGTGTCAGTGCTCTTACCTGGTCCCTGATGGAGGAAGCATTTCTATGATGTGGTTTGTGTGGTTGGAAGTTCAGGTGGTTCATGTCTGTTTGAACAGTTCCTTTGGACCTTGGTCAACACAATGGCACTGGAGGCTGTCACAGTAAAGAAGTGGGAAAGAGGCAAGTGAGCAGGGCTCATGAGGAATCTCTCGCACTTGAAACAAGTGGGTGCACCTAGGCCAAGGGGCCACTTGGGCCCAAGAGTTGTTAGAACCACTCACAATGTGTGCTGCATGCCAGCTGAGGTCTTCAAGGTGAGGCTGAAAGGTTGGCAGGCCATCTTCTGCACAGCATCTGTAACCCTAGAAGAAGGATAAAGGCATCATATTATCTCTTCTATTTTTTGATTTAAGCCAGGCTTTGCTCTTTCTTGCCTTACTTGGCCTTATCATTGATCCTGCCTTTTTCTTTCATATGCATCTTCTGTATGTATATATCTGTCTATCTACCTATCTATTACCAGCGTACATCCACAGTGATTTAACTTGTCTGTCTGTGATACTGCCCCAGCTTCCACTCTCCTGGACTTCTTGGACATGTCTTCTGTCCTCTTCCATTTGGGCTACTGTAATGCCCCTGGACTTCCAGATCTCAACTCTCTCACCTTTCATGTTAGTATTACTGTGTCTTGTATTAGGCACCCCAAAAACACCTTCCAGCGGTCAGTCTCTCAAAGTGTTTAAAGGAGATGGTGCACACTATGAGTAGATAAACTAAACATGTATACGGAGAAAGTGGGAGATGTTGAGGGCAATGAGGTAGTGAAATACCTGTATTATAACACAATGAATGGTGCTTGTAAATTGCTGTCTGACTAGCTGCTGTAAGCTGGGCTGGTAATTCTTGCAGATGTCATGGCTGAAGAGAGTTTTGAAGGCTGAATCTTACAGTGTTTAAAATGATGTCTAGATTTCATTGGATGCCAGAGTGCCAGATTCTGCCTTCTCAAATGAACTGGGAAACAAATTTAGCCTTCCATACCTGAAACCGTATCCCATTCATTCCTAATTTTCAAATGCATTCACCGCATAATGCCTCAACATCCACTTTTTTTTGGTTGGGTATATTCATAGCCTGTTGTCATGTGCAGTACTTTTAAAATATATTACGAGGCTGAAGCCCTGTGAACTCTTTGACTAGCTCTGTCTGGTAATACTTAAGAGCTATAAAACAGCCTTGAAATGTGGAGGCAATATTTGGGCATGGAAGGACAGGTGTTTGTTCCTACCCTTTTGAGAAGATCTGAAGTCTGTAGTTTGCGATAAAGGGGGCAGGCAAGAAAGCTCCTAGGAAGGCAGAAAACAGAAATGCAGCATTTTTATGGATGAATGAGCTTTTATGCAGTTGCTTTTAAAAGGCGAAATTATATGGCCATTTGCACTGCCTCTTGATTGCTCAGTGCACCAGCTATTCTTTATTCTGCATGCCATTTGCTGTTTCATGTTTAACTTTGCAAAATATTCTGGGATGCAGTTTGCACTAAGGCGCCTGTATTAACACATCTGTACTGTTTTGTACTGTTAGATGGGGGTAAGATTTCCTCCAGGGGTGCTCATTACCTTCGAGTTTTTCTTGCCCTTATTTTGTGCCATCCTGGGTTAGCTGAGCTCTAAACTTGAGTATGAGAGATGGCTATTCTGTTGCAGCCTTTTCTGGCCCTTTTTCTTTCTCACTCATGCTATGGCTGCAACATAAGCTTTGAAGGGTTATTATCTAAATCACTGCATAGAAAAGTCCTTTGGGAGCCAAATTCATTTCTGGCATAAGTGGCTGCAATTCCATTGACTTCAGAGTAGGTTCACTGCTTGACGTCAGGGGTAAATTTTTGCAATGAAGATATAAAAATGAACAGTACATAATGTAGTGGTTTCTGTCCCAAAACCAACCCATTCTTGGGCTTAGTTTGGCTCATTGACAGTGCTGCACTCCATCCTTGCATATTAAGAGCCCCCTTTTCTGTTTGCTTCTGTCCTGGGACCTTCTTTTCTCCTCCCTGTTGTCTTCCTTCCAAATCCTTTTAGATCTGCTTGTCTGCAATCACACGCTCCCTTAAGCTGCATGTTCCCCACCCTCTGCTCCCACTTTTTAGCCAGTTGTGCTGAATCCTTGCAGCAGGTGTTGTTGAGAGAAAGCTAAAATAGCTATCCCAGGATGATCATTGCCACTAGTTCTTAGGAGGTTGCGGAAGATGTAGACCAAAGTCCACAAATGCTGTCTCACAGCTATTGCAGTCCAGGACTCCCATATCTCCCTTATACCAGGGTGGAGACACGGAGAACCCCTGGAAGCCTGGTTTGCGTTAATATTAAAAACCTGAGGTATTTTTGGCAACCAACACCCAACTGTTGGCTGTATTTAGAGCCTCACGACCCTCCTGGAGGGGACAAGTTGTGTCAGCAGCCCCTGGGATGGGGGAGGACAGCAGCAGTGCAGGTTGGCAAAGCCTGAACCAATTGACTCTTATTGGCAAGGAACAATTTTTGGGAGCCAATGATGAGAACACCCTGTACTGCTGCAAGTTGAGCTCTGCCTTGCAAGGTTATTATCTGAGAGTTTAATCAGAGTCCGTCAAATGCATGGAGTGAACAGCTAGTGTCTTAAAGGGTGTGTTTTGTGCTAGAACAGTGGGCAGGAGGGATGGGGAGAGAGGCTTTTGAGGTATGAATGGAAGAAAATAGAAATCCATTTCCTGAGTTTCTGCCATGTTTCTATTTACTATTAAATATATTTAAATAACTTATATAAATTCAAGACAGACTTTCAACATCTCTGTGATCTTGCGGTGGTCAGGCAGGGGCAAATCTGTGACACTGCAGACCTCCTATTTTCCCTTAGTCTGGGGGGGCCTGAACATTCTGGGAATGAGCTCTATTTGCAGAGATCATTTTGCCCTCTGTAGATATGCAGCCGTACCTCCTTGGGATGAGATGTGGCAGCTGTTCCTCAGTGCAAAGCTATTCTAACCAGCAGTTTAGGAACCAGGTGAAAATGGAGGGGTAATTAGAGAGACAAAGACTGTAATGAATAGTACTTGGGTTGCAGTGTGGCTATCATTCTCTGTCTTGCAAAAAGCAGCTCTGGTTAGTTTGATTCATGAACTGTGCAGAACAAGCTTATGGTTATTTTGATTATTTGTATTACGGTAGTCTCTGAAAAGGCCTGCTATTAACCAGTGCCCCATTGTGCTGGGAGCTGCACAGAGAGACCAAGATGATGGCTGTAGCTACTAAACACTTACTGTGTAAGTATCAGCTGAGAAAACATGGTCACATAGATAGATGAGCGAATTAATGCACA